TGAAACTCGAATGGCAAATTTCATTTCATTTCTTTTTCTTATCGACTTTTTGTGATTTTGTTATAACCAAATCATGACAGGCATTGCTTGGTCATCTTTTTCTCTATCACTGATGTGCATTGATTTTAGTCTTTCCTAGCAATCAGTTCTCTTTTGTGGCTTCAGTGTATTAGGGTTTCCCATCCACTGCCTTTTTATGATGACCGAGCTTTGTTACGTTTTTTCTGTGTTTACTATATGCACTCTGTCCGTTTGTATCTTTCTGACTGCCTTGTATTTCTCTCAGTCTCATTCTCCATCTCCTTTTCTTACTCCAAGTTTATCACTGTATTCTCTCTTTTTCAAAGAATTAGAACGTCATAAGAATGATTTTGCTGAAGATATGAGCACAACAGTTGCCTTTCGGATCTTTAGGGGAGTCTGATAAACTAGGAAGACTTTTGAAGGCAGCAGATAAATGATACGGATTTCATGACTAAGGTAAGTCATCAGTAATCTTGTTAAGGAAGGAGTTTGTTTCTTCTTCTAAAAGGGAGAAAGAAAATATGGAGAGCTCTTTCTACATGATAATGAATGTCAGGTGTTGGGATAATGGAAAGCTATAATGAGTGGAATTTTCTTTATAAATCTACAAAATATATAAAAAAAAGGATCCTGACCTAAATATGAGGTTTTCATTTTCAACCCCTTCCCGGTGGCATGCCTGGACTATATTCCGGGTGGCATGTGCATACGTGCCATGGTGCACCAGGTCCCACTTTCTGGGGGCATGTACAGTCATGCAGCACACGCTGTAGTGCTGACATGATCCCCTGGCAGCAGGGCCCGGGCCACTATGAATACAGGGAGAGAGGGCTTTTGCATTGGGAAACCACCTGGCGGCAAAGGGTTAATGCAATAGTAAACTGAGGGGAAAATGACATTACTACTGTCTTATGCATTACAAGAATGATGTCAGATCAAAGAAATGTTCGTAGATTCTATCATTATGTCATCCTCGCCACCAATTTTCAATTACATATAACAGGCTTCTAAATAAAACACTTTAAGGTTAAAAGTTTGTACAAAATATATTTACTAGAGGTATACAACATACAATTATACAGAGTACTTCAAGTACAGATGATCTTAATCTTTGCTGCATTGCACTGAAGTCATAATTTCTTCACCCTTGTAAAGTTCCGTAGACTTTACACGTCAACACAATCTCCCTCGTTACTTGCAAACAAGCCTTCCTGTTCATTATTGAAAAACAAAAATGTAATACACTAACCACTTTAAGATGGTACCAATGAGAGGAAATTACAGATCAAAAAATGGATAAAGAAAAAATTTAATAAACAAAAATAAAAAACAAAACTGAAGTATGAAAATGCAATAAGAAAATAAATAGCTAATGAACAGTCATCTTGCTCATTTTCTTGTCCTGAATCACCTTTCTTTTCTGTCTCAAGCTGTCAAAACATCTCTACTTTGGCAATAGGAAGATATATATTTCTTGTTGTACATATATATGCAGTACATATATTTATATTTGTATATATAAACACACACATACATATATATAATGGATTAAATTATTCCGTATATATGAATCAAATACACTTTTCCTGAATTTTATATAAATAAACCATACATAAAGCAACTAGTATTTGTGATGAGTAACAAATGCTTTTCCGTTATGAATGCAAAAATCTGCTTACTAAAGACACACTTTCGGACAGGTATGACATTTGATAAAGTTAGTTCATAAACAGGTAAACATCTGTAATTAGGTTTAAAATTGAAACAAAACC